ATGGTGAGCCTGGAGGTGCTGGTCCAGAGCTTGGAGGATGCTGTCCTGAATCTGCTCGACCTGCTTCACATTCATGAGTCCGGGGCGGTCTGTATCAAGAGACAGATGACAGACACATGAGGCTTGGCTGATCATTTCTAGAAAGACAATGTTTAGAATGTACAGTCATGTGAGGAAGTAAATACACCCCATGAAAAGTTGAGAGGTTTTCGACATATTTGGACATACAGATATACCGGCCTTTAAACAATGCTGATAGAGAAAGATGATATGGCATTTGATGACAAGTGGCACTTAAAATTAACATTATTGTCATCCTTTATATAATTGAAATAAACAGAAATTGAATTTTCTATTGTGGAAAAAAGTAAGCACACCCCTACATATCACTAGTATATGACAGTGTATCACTAGTATATGACAGTGTATCGAATGTTCCAAATTTAAATCAGGTGCACACAAAAAATGGCCTAGTCAAAGGCCAGATCTGAATCCCATTGAAATGAGTTAATTCTCAATCCTCAATCTCAATCATACTATACCAGTCACTAAGATTTGAACAAAATGAAGCAATAGCTTAGCAAAGCTCATAATCAATTTCTGAACTTGTGTTAATCTACATTCGGATGAAATTAAGGCAAGAGATGATCACAAATCTACTACTACAAACGATCACATATCTGTATTGCTGTTGTGCTTAAACTCTCACCTCCACACAATATGATGGCCGCAACAAACAGAGCCAGGTCACTATCGTCCAGCTCCAGAGCATTGAACTTCACAGCAAATTCAAACTTGGGTTCCATAATTTCACTGAAGGGTTTGCGCAGGCTACGAAGAAACTCTCTCGTCACAAAGCCCTTCCCATTGGCTACCAGGAGTCCATCTTTATTCATGAGTGATGGTAGCATTGCAAAAATGGCCTCATGGACACCATACTTTAACAAAGTTACCTAAGAGAGAAGTACAGGCAAAAGAAGTGCAAAGAATATAAAGAGTGAATCTGACTTGAACTTTATATAACAATGGAGCACTGAATTACTGTCATAACCACATATGGGGCTTTTAAAAAGAATGAATCTTGTTCTCAAAACAAAAAGGTTAATGATTACTACTACATTAATACCTGATCATTAAGGAAGAGCTCTACAAAGCCAGGAATATTTTTGGCGAACTCTGTGAGCTCTCGAACAGTTTCCACCGTAGTGCACTGGCAGCGGTAGAAGACATGCACTCCAATTTCTTTGTTTGGGGGAGCGCCATTCAGCTGGTTCCAGACTAAACCGTTCTCTGCTTGCCACAATGAGTCCATATCATGAATCACAAAGGGCTGCAGAAAGAGAAGATGTGCAAAAGCTGATAGATAAATAAATAAATAATATCAGATGGGTCATAACACAGCATCCATTATCTGTTTCAGTGAGAGGAATTAAACATATATTATGTTGGCAGATGAGACAACTTTCTCCGTGACTGAGACGTGATTTTGAAATACAAATCTATTCGCAAAATACACTATATGGCCAAACGTATGTAGATGCCTGACCATCACACCCATATGTGATTCTTCTCCAAACTACTGCCACAAATTGGAAGCACACAATTGTCTAGAATATTTTTGTATGTATAACTTTAACATTACAGTTTCTCTTCACCCGAATTAAGGGGCCCAAACCTGTTTCAGCATGACTGAAAAGTGCACAAAGTGATAGAAGAAGTGAAGTGGCTTGTGGCCAAGTATGGTGACCCATACTCGGAATTTGTGCTCTGCATTTAACCCATCCAAGTGCGCACACACACAGTTGTGAACACACACACACCCGCGAACACACACACCCGCAGCAGTGGGCAGCCTTTTTTGCTGTGGCGCCCGGGGAGCAGTTGGGGGAACGGTGCCTTGCTCAAGGGACTCACCTCAGTCGTGGTATTGAGGGTGGCAGAGAGCGTTGGTCATTCACTCCCCCCACCTACAATCCCTGCCGGACCCGAGACTCGAACCCACGACCTTTGGGTTCACCTTCGGGTTCACCTTCGGGTTACAAGTCCGACTTTCGAACCATTAGGCCACGACTTGTCTATAAAGACATGGTTTGCCAAGGTTGGAGTGGAAGAACTCGAGAGTTCTGCACACAGCCCTGACCTCAACCCCACTGAACACCTCTGAGCTGGATTGAACGGGTGATTGCACCCCAGGCCTCCTCACCCAACATCAGCGCCTGACCTCACTAATGCTCTTGTGGCTGAAGGGGCACAAATCCCCACAGCCACACTCAGCAAAGATATAGTTATAACAGCAAAGAGGAGACTAAATTCCAGAGAATGGGATGTTCAACATAACATACTCATAGACTGTTACACTGCTGCATTGTTGTAGGAGTTCATTTTTCATGATTATGAAATTTCGAGACTATCGGACAATAAACAATGTACTATGGCAAAATCTTCATAAATAAATAATGCACTATTCTGTACTAAATTTTGTCATCCACGTTTTAGAGAGAGTGGCTCAATTACAGCTTCACCAAATATTACTGTGCTACATAAAACATTGTTACATTATAGTTTAGAGATTAAAGTTCTGGATGAGAATAATATGATTGTGAAATCTACTGAGTAATGATCATGTTTATGATTTAGTAATAACTGTGACATCCTTTACACAGACACAAATTTATTGACTCGTCAAACACAAACATGCTTCAATGTGTAGGCAAAGGATGGAAATACCGGGGTGCAGTTGGTTTTTCCAGCGAGGATGCTTCGTGCTTTCTTCTTGGTCATATTGAGGTTTTTCAGGTAGGCTGAGTTGACATGCTTTGCCAAAGTTTTGAGACCAGAGCCTCCAGGGCTCAGCAGACTCTTCTCTCCTGCCAGCAGTCCAGCCACCAGCTTCTTCTTCTCTGCCTCTGGCATACGGCCATAACGAATAGCTGTGGAGTTACAGGATTTAAATTATTAATATAAATATTTAGATTTTGACTTCCAGCATGTTCCTAAGCTCAAGTATGTTGCAAGAACTGGCAGCAAATAACAAAAAAATAAATAAAATAATAAAAAGCCTTAATCCTCATGTTTTACTGATATTGCCTTTTACTTGCTCACTGTTTGGGGCCTCAGACAAAATTACTGCATGTATGAAGTAATAATTTAATATTATAATTTAAATTTTTCTAGCTACTTTTATTCTGAAACAAAGTACATGAGCACATGTCAATAAAGTGATGAAACTCCTAAGTAACTGGGAAACATCACTATGCAAAGTATATAATATAATAAAATGTGCAAGAGAATCCAAAGTTTCCCACAAGGCAAATGATCATGTTAAATCAGCTCCTCTTGTAACTCAACTAAATCCAGCATGTTCAAATATGAAACTAAAATTATATGTTGAAATTGTTGACCTCCTATGTTTGACTTTTAATGTGACTGCACAAATCTCACCATCATGGGACATGCCGAGAGCCAGACACTTCTGGAAGCGGCAGTACTGGCATTTATTGCGATTCTTCTTTTGGATTCGACAGGTCCGTTCACAGCGCTCATACTCTAGCTTCATACGAATGGTGCGTCTGAAAAACCCCTTGAAATCAGAAAATAATGCACCTTTAAGTGTAACCATATATAAGTCTGTATACTTGTTTAAAAGATTCATTTTCTTCAGTCTATTAAAACATGTACAGGCCCCTCTGAAGGTATTGGAATGGCAAGGCCAATTCTTTTGTTTTTGCCAAACACTAAAGATATTTAGGCTTGTGATCAAAAGATGAATATGAGACTATAGATCAGAATTTCATCTTTCCTTTCCTCATATTTACATCAAGATTTGTTAAACAACATAGAAAATGTCACCTTTTTTTTAACCCATCCATTCTTCAAGCGATCGAAAATATTGGAACATGTGACTGACAGCTGTTTCCTGTAACCCAGAGCTCAAACCAAAAATAGACATTGAGAGCTATTAACTATTTAAACAATCAATATAACAGGGCACACCTAGGTAACAAGAATCAATCAGAGCCATTGCACAAGCATTGCGCAAAGCCAATACAACAATTTGAAATGTCCTGAAAAAGTAAGAAACCACTGGTGTACTATCAACCAGACATCAAACAGGCCAGCCAAGGAAAACAAGTTCATGACAGAAACATTTTGAGAACTATGAAGAAAAACCCAAAAACAACAGTCAGTGACATCACCAACAACCTCCAGAGGGCAGAAGGTATCGCAATCCAGACTTTGAGAAGAGCAGAAATATAGAGGCCATACCACAAGATGCAACCCTCATGAGCAGTAAGAATCAGAAGGCCAGATTGGAATTCACAAATACAGAGATGAGCCACAGAGGTTCTGGAACCAAGATTAACCTTTACAAAAGCGATGGAAAGAAACCATACAAGCTCATTGGTCAAGCATGGTGGAGGTAGTGTCATGGCTTGGGCTTGCAGGTAACTCATGATGCTAGCAGCAGAATGAATTCAGAGGTCTACAGAAACATCCTGTCTGCCAATTTACAGAAATGCATCCAATCTAATTGGGAGGAACTTCATCATACAGCAAGACAATGACCAAAAACACGCGGCCATCACAACAAAGGACTTCATCAGAGGAAAAAAGTGGAAGGTTTTTAGACCAAGTCAATCACCAGACCCTAACCCTGCTGAACATGCATTTCACCTCCTGAAGAGGAGACTGAAGGGATAAACTCCCTAAAACAAGCAACAACTGAAAGAAGCTGTGGTACAAGTCTGGAAAAGCATCATAAAAGAAGAATGTCAGTGTGTGTTGCCAGTTTGATGCAGTTATTGCAAGCAAAGGATATGCAACCAAATATTAAGTTTTATTTACTTTAAGTCTATCTGTTCCAATGCACAGTGAAATTCTTTTCTTTGCATATCGCACCATGTTAGAAAGTTGGGGTCAGAGTGCAGGGTCAGCCATGATACACCGCCCTGAAGAAGAGAATGTTAAGGGCCGTGCTCAAGGGCCCAACAGTGGCAGCTTGGCATTGTTGGGGATTGAACCCTCAACTGTCTGATCTGTAACCCACAGCCTTAACCGCTGAGCCACCACTGCCAACAAGCTAGGTATAAATATCTAATACATCTAGAAATTCTGATCTATTGTCGGATATTCATCTTTTGATCTCAAACCCAAATCTTCAGTGTATAGCAAAAACAAAAAGGGACTGTATATAAGGAACTTATATAGGAAGTGTATATAAGGAAATATACATATGTCATGCCAAGTGACAGCATTAACATAGATTTATTTTCTGGTTGCCATAGCCGTCTCTATAGCCATTGATGTTTAAAGTCCCCATTATATCTAAAAGCCCAGCAATAAATTGTCAGTGAATTATGAAATCTTCGCTTTACTATGAAACATCCAACCCAAAAACATTTTGTTAAGTATGTCCTGATGACCTCAAAAATGACCTATAAAATATTAATGACAGGAATCCATCACGGGGTACATGCAGTATGACAATTTATCAGCACTCTAACATGAACTCTAACCCTGCATCCACACTAATGAGCATCAGTTCCCTTGTGTCGCTTGTAGTTTGTCTCTTGTAGGCATGAAGCAAGCACTACTGCTGTCACCTGTAGGCATGTACCGTCCATCCAGCTCCAATGAGAAAGAGTAGTGGCCAAAATGTTCCCTACAGCACTTAATCTACTATAGTATATGATTTGTTTGTCTTTAAAATGTTCTTAGAATGAATTCCAATATTTTAGTAATGTGAAAAAAGTGTAAAAATTGGTTGTTTGATGCATATAACATGCATCAAACAACCAATTTTTACACTTTTTTCACATTACTAAATATATAACGTAACGTACCAGGCTTCGTATTAGCTATTAGTAGCGCAAGCTGTACTGTACTAGCTACAAACACTCTCCAGAGACACCAATGATCTCTGCTATTTTCTTCAAAGCTTTCTTTTTCTTTGTAATGTCTCTGTATGCATTTAATGAGAGGTTGTATATGACAGGATAATATGAAAACAAAAATATGTTTATTCCTTTTTTTTTTTTTTTGAGTCAAGCGGTGCATAGGACCTAATTGCTGTTCGGAACTAAAGTTGCGGGGGGGTATGTGTGTGAAAAACGTTGTACCACGTGTGCCCTATGATCGTTCCAAGGAAAAATGGAAAAAAAAAAAAACGAAACAGAAAATGGTCGCCTGTCACGCTAGTGTGAACACACTAATTAATGCCTCTGTTATCTGTCAATGTTTCATAGCAGTACAGAATAAAATATATTGGAAGTGCTAACCATTTTAAAGAATTTACAAATTTTTGAAGATTTTTACGTTCCTTGTTGGAACCAAATCAGAGAACAGAAAGTTCAACACACATGGAATGGGCACTTCTAATCCTAAAACTTGAGTAGCAGAGAGATCAAGCAGGTACCTTGCAGCCCTCACAGGCATGTACACCGTAGTGGAACCCCGAAGCTTTGTCCCCACATATCTTGCACTCCACGTTTAGTCCCGTACCTTCAGACTCATCTCGGCCCAACTTTAAATGATCAGACAACGAGAGAGTGGAGCTCTGCAGTGGCTCTGAGACACACAATGAGGGAAAAAATGTTGTAATACTATGAATATTGATAGAAATGTGTGAGCATTTTATGAAAAGGCCTTCAATGAATAAGTGTTTCCCTAAAAAATCTTCCGATTTCTCATCATCTGACAAGGTCATCTTACACTAAAGTCAAGCTTTGTCTCTTAGAAGATTTTTTCTAACAAATGTGTCAGAACATTTTCCGACAAAGCAGCAAACAAGAGAGATTACAGTATAAGGGATGTACTTGTCAACCAGTAAGCAAAAACTCCTATGGGGTACTGACTCCGGATTTGCTATTTTTCTTTTAGTTTCGGTCAGTGTGTAAACTAAAACAATTGTTGAGAAATACATTGATGCAATGTGTTGGCTCCATAGAAATTCTAAAATTATGAATAATGCAAAACTAAAACATGATACATAAAGCTATCCCCTCAGGAAAATGACTGGAAAAGATTTGTTAAAAACTACAGATCACACATAGGAAAAAGCAAGTTTCACAAAACCTAAACGCTTATTGCACAGATACAAATTTGTAAATAATGCACGTTTGTAAATGATTACACCTGGTACCTGCAAGGGAATGTTATTAGCAAACAATGGAAATGTAGTCTTATATAATATGTTTGAATAAAAGTACATTGCTGCAAATAAATTGAATAATTTGGAAACAAAACAGTTCTTTGTTTAAATTACATGGTTTGCTGTTGGCTAATTGACTTAACTGACACTTATTTACCTGGACATGTGCTGGTTGTTACAGTAGCACTGCTGTTGTTCTGTGGTTTATCCTTTTCAGCTTCCTCTCCATTCTGAACACATGGATTGTCCACGGTCTCTTTACTTTCCCCTTCCTCACCCAAGGCAGAGCCGAGTTCCTGCAGCTCAGAGGAGGTTAATTCTTCTTCCTGAACCATTAACCAGGTTGTGTCCTCAGTAATGTGAGGAAAGTTGAGGTCAGGCTGCGATGAACTTTCATCTTCGGTAAGCCCATCCAAAGGTACAACACTCTGCACGACGGTCAGCTCTGTCAGACTGCCACTCTTCCCCATAGACGCTTCTTGCTCGACTCCCTCCATGGCTTTTCGTCAGCCTGCCAGCTAAAGTTTGCATCACTCCATCATGCAGCTATTATGGCTACCCTGCTGTTGAGATGAGAAATGAAAGGGACCACTGTTAACTGGCATATAACCAGCATACATAATAAGATTATTCACTTGATAAGAAATATACAACATACAAAACATATTTAAGAAATTATAATGTTATGAGACAGTCAATCCTGGCATGTTCTTTTGTCCCACAAAAGATGAACTGATAATTGCAGGCCCACAACAGGATAGATTAATATATAACACTATATAATTATTACATACAGTGGCCTGCATAAGAATTCACTCCCTGGACCTTTTCCACATTTTGTATTATTAGAACTTGGAATCAATTTACGAGTAAAAATTATTAAAGATTGTGGGCATTTTTATTTTAAATATTGCCGATCACAACGCTTTCATCACTCCATTAACTCGCAATTAAACATTTGCAATGTGAAAACAATGAGATGTGAGAAACAACACACAGAATAGCCAAAGACTCTATGCCATTACGTTTTTAGGAATTAATGGACTCAGCCATTTTGTCTGTTTAATATTTGAGCTGTGAAAACGACCAAAATACAAACAGTGTCTACTGGCAAATAAATAACTGTAAATAACTCTGGGTGATCCCCCCCCTCCTCAATGACTAGGTAAGGTCAGCCAGCAGCCAATGGTTTTTGAACACAGGAATGTAACAGCAGGAAAAGCCTGAGGGGTTTGCTCATTAAGCCACCTGAAGTATCTTTAAAAAATTAATTACACTCTACGCTGACCAGAGAACTGAACACATTACTCTAAATTATTTTCATGAATGAGAAAAAAAAATCACTTGTAACCACTGTCTGAGGTTTCTGTGCCAGCTGTGTGATTGACTAGATTTGTAAATTAGCACTAAACAATTTTTTTAAAAATTAGCTGCAGACAGATTACTGGTATGAAGAGTAAAGCAAAAATAATTAGGTTCTTTTTTTTTTTTTTTGGTGAGATCTGCCTCACTGCTTATTACTATATCACATTCTGAGACATCGCCCATTTCAGCCAGGCCAAAAAGCAGGCCATGGGAGCTTTTCTTGATTTTTGATAATAATAGTGTACACTGTGGAGGTGTAATACAGTTTTTTTCCCCCCAACATCTACAAAATTGGGGTAATACAGTATCACCACTACCAAGTCAAGGATGTTTACTTCAGTATTCAGTATCAGTATCTATAATATAACTTTAGACTCACTCAACCAGTTAATGAAAAAATGTGAAAGCTTTTAGGAACATGTAGCCAGACTAGTCTTTCTTCGCCTCATTTAATCAAAAGAGGTGTTTCAGTAAAGAAGAGAGATGGAATAACCGTAATGAGGAGCTACAATGTTTTTTTATTTTTGTTTCTGACATTCAACACTGTAGGAAGAGAATGTGATTAACTGTTTTTTCATCATTTTTAGGTTAAACCATTGTGTGGTATGGTGTAATCATTTGTCACACAGTTCCAGTTAATCTGCCACATAATTCCAGTTAACCGTAGCTTGCAAGTTTTTTGACCATCTGCCCACACATTTTTCCAATTACATTAAAATTCTGTCAGATACTTAGGGGGAAAAAGTACCGGCTTTAAACACGTTATTATTTGTGCGAGGTGTTGAAGTGTGTTTTTAGCTGGGGTGAATTTGGCACCATGTCAAATCTAACTCATGAAAATATGGAATAATAGCTTATTGTTTGATTCTGGGCAAATCACTGAAATACTTTGGCTTTCTAATTAATCCACCTTCTGAAGCAGTGCAGCTTCTAAAGACTGTCCAGTTAATCTGCATTCTGCCACAGAACGCACAGTCACCACGAGCTACACAGCCTAGCTTGCCATTCCTGTTTGTTAACGAAACTCATGTTACTCAGAAATGAAATGAAAGCTCCTGCTCTTATAGCCAGTGCACTTACGTTTTACCTTAAAGCAAACAAATCCAAAAGCCCTCCATGGAAACTGCTCACTAAGATTCAACTAAACGTGTATATGTTTAGTGGAGTGTACGAATTTAAGGTTATGATTTACATTATTACAACCAAATGAATGAATCTGTGGCTAAGCTGTAGATTTGCCCTATACTATCACAATGGCTTTAGGGAAATGTGATAACTCCGCAACTAGATTCCAAGCAGCACTAGATATAGAGTACAGAAATAACACAAAGTAGTCACGAGAAAAATGGAAGCTGAACCCAGATTGAGATCCATGTAATCCATGGAATTTTTGATAAGAAGATTATTAGGCCGTCATGTAAGAATGTGTGCCTAAGTAATAAACATACCAGCAATTTTATTCAAATGTATTTAGGTTTGTAGCCTATTGCATAAGGAAACCTGCACAGCAGTACAGAGAGAATAAATGTATAGTAAAAGCATCTGTTCAGACTTGTCAG